CATCAGAATGTTTGAGATCCATAAAGTCAAGATCGGTCAAACTCTCTAAATTGCGAGGTTTATTGGAGGTCAAATTGTCGTCCCAAGCTGTGACATGCGACGAAATTTAGAGTTAAAAATTATGCGTTAATAACCACGGCCCACGTTTGGCATGTCATTGACCACAGTTCACTGTACACAAGTGAATCATCTGCTCAAATAATCAGTGTCAGGCATTTGAATTTTAACAGTATGATAAACTAGCAAAAGTCTTAAGTTTTATTTGTATCTTCAAGGAAGTAAAAGAATTTCTTTGTTTTTCGTTTATCATTAATGTCATTTTGGGAGTTATTTGAAGATAATCTGGAAGGATTCGAACGTTGTGGTTGTTACATTGGCTGTTCGAGTGTTGTCTGGTATCGCGCGAGGATTCGCGTCGAAATTCACCAAATATGTTCCAATGGTGAGTGTATATTGCATCAACTATGATTTATCCTAATGAATTTTTTAATGTTACAGTTAAACAAATGAGCTGTACAACAGTAATTCCACTATAAATCAGAGCAAAATATTCATTTTATCAAGTGTTTTCAGTTTATGACAATTGTTTTCGAGAAGTTCAAAGATAAGAAAACATCAGTGCGTGAAGCACTTAATGAATGCGTTGACACAGTTGCATCAACAGTAAGTGTTCTATGGTGAATTTGTTTTCATGGAGATCGAGCGAGTTCAGATTTCAGTTTTATTCAATTGTCCACTCTCTTGTGTTGTTAAGTCCATTAATTTTTGTGTTGAATTGACTCTTTCGCTAATTTTTGTGGTTGAGTATCGCAATATTCACTTTCAGCAATCTATGAAATTCGTTGATATAACGTGCATAATGCTGCTATTTGAGAGAACAATCGCAACAGTATCGTTGCGAGCATCAATCAATAAATTTTAGTCTCACGCGGATTGTTTCGTGGCTTCGTTAACAGAAGTATTCGAGAAGAAGAGTGTCAATCCTGATATTAAGGCGAATATCGATCGTTGGATATATCGTACTCTTTTGCATTATACGCAAACGAATCCACCGAATGACTTCATCACCAATATGGCACCTTTCATAGCACAGGTAAATAACTGCATTTGTTGAATGCTCTTACCTTTTGATTTTGGAAAGCTAAGCTCAGTGGCGTAGCCAAGGGGAGCGCAATTACCCTTGGAGAGTGGAAGAAAAAAGAGAAAGAATGGGAAACGAGAAAAGAAAAGCAGAGAAGAGGGAGAAGGAAATGGAAGCAATAGGAGGGGNCAGGTAAATAACTGCATTTGTTGAATGCTCTTACCTTTTGATTTTTGAAAGCTAAGCTCAGTGGCGTAGCCAAGTGGAGCGCAATTACCCTTGGAGAGTGGAAGAAAAAAGAATGGGAAACGGGAAAAGAAAAGCAGAGAAGAGGGAGAACGAAGTGGAAGCAATAGGGGGGGGGAGAGAGAGAGAGAGAAAGAGAGGAGGGAGAAGAAAGAAAAAATAAACTTTGAAAATCCTGCTCTAAAATTCGGCTATTTTTTTGGAGCCAGACCATTTTGCTTCTGCCACGCAGAAAAAATTCTAACTACGACACTAACTGATTTTGCTCTCATCCCTTTTGCATTCATCGTTTTCCAACTTGTTCAATTTGCTCATAAACTTTTGACTATTATGAATATTTTACAAATCTGATGATTATAGAAAAACATGAAATCATTTATGCTCTATAAATTCATGCGCAACTGTATTATCCGAACTTCCAATTGATTTTCATTCAGCTCCTAATGCATTCTTCTTGTGTAAATAATAGTGCAAGTTGGTTGTCGATTGAACAATTTGAGTGAATGATTGCAGCATATTTGTGATGGTGATGCGGACGTACGAGATGCAGCGTGTATGGCGTGTGCTGGTGTGATGCGACTTATCGGTGAGAAGACAACATCAGCGTTGATAAAGGGCTGGGTCGATGATAAGGTTAAACAGAAGAAGGTTAATGAATACCACGAAAAGGCTGTGGCTGAAGCTGAAGAGTTGGCGAAATCTGCAGGAGCTCAGGGCGACGATCAACACGATGATCAGAACAATTTGAGTGGTGATAAGGTGAACCTATCAACGATATTCAGACTTTGGAGCGTCGTAAAAAGAGATTCATTGCATGAGATTCGCATTAAAAGCAGCAAATTTAATGCGAATTTGGAACTTCATTCTAGAATAAGATAATTTTAGGTCGTTTACCAAAATTACCAAAAAATTACCAAAATTTTAGTTAGGTCGTTTCCAGGAAAAAGAAAACGGCTTTTCAAGCGCACCAACAACATTAGCGATTGATCCATGGGAGTTGCTGGAA